TCTGAAGCCCAATTCACATTCAACTAATCACAACTGGCTGATGTTGAGGATCAGAGAGGGGTACAGCTGGCACTTCCTGATCTGAGGACGGCTCTTAGAACCAAGGAACTGCCCAATGTCTTAGGGTGATTCAGTGGTCCTGAGACTGTTGATAATATGCTTCAAATTGGCCTATCACTGACATTTGGGTGACTTTGCAAGTTCAGAGCCAGAAGAAAGAATAGTTGTCAAAGTTGGAATTTAAAATTGTGGCCCATTTATACTTGTCCAGAGTACCTATAGTAAATAATAAGTTATTTTAAAACCTGGATAGCATATTCTTTCCAGTGCAGTTTGCCATTCTCTGAACCAGTGACTTCTGTTAGCTACCAATGCTTGCAAAACATTGATTTAAAATGACATTTTTTCATGTTAACACAGTATCAATATGGAAGGAGTAAACTTATAGGCTATTTTTATAATTTGAGATTATCTTTTTTAAGTAGAAAACTTATAATTATCTCATTAATCCCAAGGCAAAAAAGAGCTTTCCCCACCCCTTGTCTGTTAGTATGATAAATTATTTTGCTTTAAACAAGAAAAATGAAAGCTTATAAAAAAATGTATAAAAGGAGATACATATTTGGGAGGCCAAGGCAGGCAGGATCACCTGAGGTCAGGAGTTCGAGACAAGCCTGACCAATATGATGAAACCCTGTCTCTACTCAAAATATAAAAATATTAGCCAGGTGTGGTGGCATGCATTTGTAATCCCAGTTACATGGGAGGCTGAGACAGGAGAATAGCTTGAACCTGGGAGGCAGAGGTTGCAGTGAGCCAAGATCGTGCCATTGCACTCCAGCCTGAGCAACAATGGTGAATCTCTGACTCAAAAAAAAGGAGATAAATAATGTTCAAGGAAAAAGCAAACAGAATTACTATAGGGAAGAAGAGGCAGGAAAAGAAGCTTGAAACAGATTAAAAGATTCACTTGTCCTCAAGTGAAAGATTTTTCATCAAGAAAAATGAAGAATTATCAGACTTTAGTTATATAAACCACACAGGGTTAAGGGAAATGCTCATGTATACCAATCCTAGAACATTAGAAATACTTTAAAAGAAATACTGTTTCATATTTGTGCATATTTGAGAGTCTCAGATCCCTAAAATGAACTTGGTAGCAAATACAGTTTAAACAGGAAACCAAAGATCGCAAATACAAATATGTATGTCACTATTTCCATTTCTATACCCATAGCAGACATTATCAAGTGATCAGTTAGTTGTTTCCAACTAGATGATATGCACTCTGAGATCCTTTTCAGTAGATGACCTTTAAGATGAAACCCTCTTTCTTTACGTGGTTTAACTTTGCTACTCAAAGTGTGATCTTCAGAACACCAGCATGGGCATCATGTGAGAAGTTACTCAGAAAGCAGAATCTAAGTCCCATTCTAGGCCAACTAAATCTGAATCTGTATTTTAGCAAGATCCCCGGGATTCTTATGCATATTAAGGTTTAAGAAGTTCTGGAGGTATACTGAATGCATGATATATTCATTAGGGCAGAAGATCTCAAACTTTAGTATGCATCATAATCACTAGGATAAACACTGTTGAAGCACAGATTGCTGGGCCCCATCCCCAGAGCTTTTCATTCAGTAGGTCTGGGGTGGGGTTTTCAAACAAGTTTCCAGGTAATGCTCCTGCAGCTCCACGGACCACACTTTGAGAACCACTGCATTAGGGCCATGGGAATACTTTGGAATATCTCCCTGATCGTTAGAAGCTGAAGATTGTGATATCTTTCCACAACTCTTGGTATATTGGTCAGAACTAGAGTTCAAGGCAGGCAGGAGAGTCCCAAGGTTTATGCATAATATTTTGTATGTCCTTATGTTCCTAAATCTAGGAGACAATCTCTCCTTCTTGAGGGTTGATCCTAGGATCATTCAATCATTCATTCAGTAACAATTTTGGGTACCTATTCTGTCCACAGCATTATACTCCATGCTGAGAGGATCTAAAGATAGTTAAAGCACAGTTCCTAATTCCATGATGTTTATTCTCTAAGAAGAAAACAAATGCATGAAACAATAAATAACAGGTTAAATAATCGAGGACAACAGTACAGGAGGTGGCATCAGATGACAAAGGGCAAAGTGTTAAGTAAGTAGCATGAATCAAGTGTGAGTTGACTTCAGAGAGAGGGAGGATAACTGAAACAGGCATAGACAGGGCTGTGCATTTCAGCCTAACTAGAGTAGAAAAGTTGCTACCTAGAATGGCTAAGAAGGCGCCTTCCTGAGATCAAGACCACCCTGGCCAACATGGTGAAACCCTGTCTCTACTCAAAATACAAAAATTAGCTGGGCGTGGTGGTGTGTGCCTGTAGTCCCAGCTACTCAGGAGGCTTAGGCAGGAGAATCGCTTGGACCCAGGAGGTGGAGGTTGCAGTGAGCCGAGATTGTGCCACTGCACTCCAGCCTGGCGACAGAGCAAGACTCCGTCTCCACATAAAAGGGCCTTCTCATTTCTCATTTTTTAATGCTTCAGAGTTGAAGACTTTGCTGTTTCCTTTGGTCTGAGATCTTTGTCACTTTGAGCCACTATAACAAAAATGCCATAAACAGATGACTTAAACAATTTATTTCTTACAGTACCAGAGGCTGGAAGTCTGAGATGAGGATGCCAACACGGTGTCAGGTTCTTGGTGAGGGCCCTGTTCCTTGTTCACAGAAGCTGCCTTCTGTGTCCTCACATGGCAGAAAGTGAGCATCTCTCTTCTGTCTCTTCTAAAAAGGTCGCTAATCCTATCATGAGGGCTCCACTGTCTTGAGCTTATTACCTCCCCAAGTTCCCCACCTTCTAATACCATCACATTGGGGATTAGAGGTTTAACATGAATTTGAGGGGGACATACCCAATTAATAGCATCTGAGTTATTATAAATCAATGCTCTCAGCACTGAAGATCAGGCTATAGGGTGATCACAAAGTGAAAAACCTGTATTCTGGAAACAGAGAAGAAAGACAAATAGTTTAGAAGCAGAGATGACTTTGGGAGAAAGCAGCAATAATTTAATAACAGAGAAAATAAAATCCAGCTTTTATTGGACTCCTACATTGCCAGGTACTTGTGCTAAATGACTGTCATGCATCAACCATCTCATTTAATTCAAACAACAGTTCATTAGGTAAATGTAGTCAAACCTCCACCTTACTACCTGTGAAAACAGAAGCTTTATAAGGATACGTGTAAGCTTAAAGAAGTTGCCCAATTCAAATCCAGGGAGGTCTACAGGGTGGAGCCTCCTCATTCATAAATCGCGACGCCTGGCCTGCCTGATCATCCCTCAGTTTCCTTCTTATTCTCATACACTTTGAGTCAGCGAGGAAACCACAGAGGAACCCAAAGAACGAATATGAGTGGAGGAACCTGTGGGGCCAGTGTGTCCCAGGCGCGGACAGGGAGGGGCTCCATGAAACGCAGCAAGGTTTGGCCAAAGCCGGCTAGGGTCATGGAGCCTCTCCCGGCTTCCTCGGGCCACTATAATTACAGAGTCTGTGGTAGGTTGCGTGGAGGAGCTGTCTCGGGGCGGGAAGCTTCCCTGCGTATTGTATTTGCCTATAAATACTTCAAATAGTTAAGTGAAATGTGCAGCCTTTGAAAACTGGAGAGGAAGCCGTTGGGAGGCCCCCCGCCCGGCCCGCCGGGAAGAGCAGGCAGAGAAATGGCTGGCGCGTTCTGAACGCGGGAGACGAGCTTCGGCCCTGCCCAAGCCAGATGGGGGCAGCGAGGCTGCGGGCGTGACTCCGGAAGACTCAAACCGTTAAGGTAACCGGAGCAATTTGAAAAAGGAAACAAACTTCCCCCGAGCCGTGCCCGCGTGGCTCCGGGGCGGGCAGTTGCGTTCGAAAGGGCATTTTTCAAAAGAAGGGTTTCAGGGACGCGGGGGTGTGGGCCCCCCGGGAGGCGCGCGGCCGGAGCAGTGCCGCAGAGCGGCCACCAGCCCGCTTTGTACTCGCGGCCAAGCGCGGCCCCAGAGTTTCGGCGGCGGCCAGAGTTGAGGCCACGCCCTCTTTGCAGTGAGAGCCGCGGCCACGGATTGGCGAGCCGTGGACCAATGGGTGCGCCGGGGCGGCCCCGGCTGTCAGCGCGCGCCGCAGCCGCGCCTGCCGCAGCCTGTCCTCCCCTGCTCTGAGCCCCGCAGCCGGCGCAGCCTTCCCGGGAAGCGCGGCGGCCGCTCCCGAGCGCAGCCCAGCCCGGCCCGCCAGCCGCGCGTCCCGGCGCCCGCGCCCCACGGCCACAGCCTAGCCGCGCTCTAGCGCACGGAGCATGTGCAGACCCGCAGGCGCTAAGGTGCTGTCTGTCCGGGCGCCTTCTGGGCAGCGGTGACTGTCACTCCAAGAGAGACCTTTCGGGGGCTCTCGCCGCTCCTCTGCTGTGTCGAGGGTGACACTGCGGTGCTCGCGAGCAGGGCGGCAGCTGCCTCTCGGTGGAGACGTCTTGGGCCCCGTGTGCCCTTCTCTCCTTCCTTCGCTGCTCGCTCCTTTCCTCCCACGGCTGCTCGCTCTTTCCCTCGCCGGCTCAGACCCGTAGCCTCCGGAGCGGGACTCGTGCGTCCCTGCCGCCTCTGTCTCTTCCAAAAGGGCCTCCTCACTTCGGAGACGCAATGACAAGTTAATATGGGCGTCCAAACCTCTGTTTCCCAGGAGGAAAATTGCAAGAGGCGGCAGCCCCTGAGCGCCCAGAGCTCTTGAAAGGCCACCCAGGAGGGGCTTGAGACCCGGCTGCAGCATCCGTCCAGGTGGGACCCGCTGGGCGCCGTGGCCAGTCCCCCATTCCCATCCCGGCACCCCAAAGGCGCGCTCGCCAGATTGCTTCGAGTTCCCCGACCTGGGGATTTTTTCTTTCGCCGCTGGTGGTGGGCGCCTCGTGGGCTAAGGCCCGGCGCCTGCTCTGCTACCCGCGCTGCCTTTAGCGGTCGCCCCCGCCGCCGCTGCCAGGGACGTGCTGGGAAAGCCCAAGCCCCGGGAGAAGATGCCGGCCATCCTGGTCGCCTCCAAAATGAAGTCGGGACTGCCCAAACCCGTGCACAGCGCCGCGCCCATCCTGCACGTGCCCCCGGCCCGGGCCGGCCCCCAGCCCTGCTACCTCAAGTTGGGAAGCAAGGTGGAGGTGAGCAAGACCACCTATCCTAGCCAGATCCCCCTGAAATCGCAGGTGCTGCAGGGGCTGCAGGAACCAGCGGGGGAGGGGCTCCCTCTTCGGAAGAGCGGCTCGGTGGAAAACGGGTTCGATACCCAGGTGAGAGGTGCCCTGTGCCGGGGTACTGTTCTGGGAGGATGGGCAAATACTTCTTTCCGGGTGATGTGGGAGAAAGGGCCTACCATGTGGGCAGGGAAAGGAACCATTCCCCTTAGGCCGACAGGTTGGGGGATGCGCGAGGAGAGTGGGCCGGCCGGTGGGTGTGGCCCGGGTGCCCGAGGTTTGCCCAAAGAGCCCTTTGAGAACTGGGATGGGGGGAAGGCCGGCAACATCTTCCTGGGGAGGATGGCATGATCGGGGTGTTCTCAAAAAACATGTGCACCGCTGGAAATGTGAGGTCCTGCATGTTGAGGTCTTGTCCTCAAGAAGCCAGTATCCGCAGCAACAGCTGTGTGTGTGTCTGGCGATTCCGCAGAGATTCTGTTCCGGACAAGGAATGATCTGAGGCTCCATTGGGTTCGACGCCGCCCCCTAGCCTGGCTGTAAGATCCAGGAAAAGGGGGTTGGGGGGTGGCAGTGAACCTGCTCTCCCCTTGGCTTGAAGATGGCCTGTCCCTGCCCCATCCTGCTGGGTGACGGGATTCTGGGCAAGGTGCTGGGGCTGCGGTACTAGTGCACCAGCAGAACGCCTTGGCTGGCTGTTGCGGTGGGGGTGGGGGTGGCTGCCTCAGAATGGCGGCTGAAGCTAAGCCCCTCCTTCCTGGGTGGTAGATCCTGGTGTTGGTAGCCCAAGTGACTGGGGGTGGGGACAGGAGATGGCTTGAAGAGAATTGGTGACTCCTACCTTTCCAGTCAGAGCCTGCATCACCCAATTCGGCAGGGTAACAAGCCCTGCCCGTGCAATCTCTTTTACAGAAATTAGCAAAGGCCAGTCAGGTTCTCTTGGCCCTCCCTGCTCCATTTCCCCCTACTTCTGGTAGGAGGGGGCTATATTTTCTTGGCAGTCAGTCAGCAGGGACTTCTGGGGACATGCCGACCTGACGGATGTGACTGTCCGGTCAGGAGAGGCGGGAAGCCAGAGAGGGAGGTGGTTTGGGGCTGGTGTCAGGAAAATGGCAACAGACCAACTGACCTTTTTGGCACTTACTTCCCTGCTGACACTGTCTCCACCTTCTCCTGGAGCTTTCTCTGATCAGAGGCTAGAGCTCAACACATTCCTAGGCTTTCTGATGGGGGAACTGGAGCTGAAAGCTAATTGTAAGCAGACTTTTGTAACTCTGGGCTGGAGAAGGCCCTCAAAGCAGATTAAGCTCCCACACCAGGCTGATAAGCATGCCCCTTGCTGCTGCACTTGCTAAACATTTTTGGAAGCTGACAGGTTTGAGTGATGGTGTGTGGGAGGAAGGCAAGATTTCCTCCAGTGCTCTGGGGGCCTGCCTCTGTGAGGGTTTTGTGCTCCAGTCTTCTTCAGTTGTTAGGTACAGGATTTGTCCAGTGGGCTCTGCAATGGGGGTGAGCACCAGCGTACATATCTGCATGGGGTTCTCCTTTATCTGTGGAGGTAGGGTTTATGAGATGTAGTGGGCAGTAGTGGGTGGGAGGTCAATACAGTGACTCGGAACTGGAGGTGACACATACTCTCGAGCCTGATGAGGAGCACCCGAGGAATGAGAGGGAAAGTCCATGCTGGGATTGTTCATATCCAGGCAGCTGTTCTGCCTTTGCCTGTTTGACCCTTCATTTAACAAACATTGTCAGAGGACTGGCAGTGGATAGGCTCTGGTAAGGTGATTCATCACCCTCTCCCTGAAAAAACAATGTTCTTCAGCTTCTCCCTGGGGGCCTGGAACAGTCCACTTCCCCCAAGACTTTGCTTCCCTCTTTTGCCCTTGGTCTATCATCTCCCCACCCCATTCTACTCTGTCACCCTCAGTTGGCCCTTGTGCACTCATGGTGAGCACAGTTTGGATAGACTGCTAAGAAAATTGGTCACTTCCAGTGGACTACCTTGATTTTTACCAGCCTGCCGTCCTTTGCCAGTGCCCAGGGGTTCTGGGGATCTTCCCTGTGGCAGATTCCTGTCTGCATGGCTGACATCAAAGTGATTTTGGCCAATGGCATTTTACCTTCTTTGCCAGGGCTTCTCCCACAATGTGCCTGATGTGGTGTCCGTTCCCCCTCCAGAAGAGTCTCTTGGTTATTGCATGAAGACTGTGTCTGACTGCCCATCTGGTAGTTTCCAGGTTCCAAATCTGGTATATATTATTAGAAAATACTCAGGAAGCAATGAAGTAAATGGCAAATGCTCTCTTGGGGTCTCTGACTCCCCTTTTATTCAGGGGATTTTTGGTAGGAGGTTGGGTTGTGTAGTGGCTGATAACACAGGTTTTAAAGTCAGATGGGTATTGGTGGTGTCCTTTGTCATATACTAGCTGGGTGATCTCCTTGATTAACTTCTTTGGGTTTTAGTGCTATCATCTATTAAAAAATAAGCATTAACAGCCACTAGAACTGTGAGCATTAAGAAAAATAACATGTGAAGTATTCAGTGCAGTGTCTAGCAAGTAAGGAATACTTAATAAAAGTAGCTATTTATATTGCTAACCTAAGAGATAGGGCATGCTGAACCTAGATTTAATAGCTCTTAGGTGAGAAAAGATATAGCTTATTCTCTCAAGCCCCTGGAAAGGTATTAATCTGTTCCAAGGATTTATAGAACATCCATCACCTGCCTAGTACAGTACCAGGCAGAATGGGAAGATGAGGCAAGGGCATGATCACTTTCTGCGTGCCTGATGGGTGAGGCTCTTTACGTATAATCTCATTTCATCTTCACAAAAACACTTAAATCAGGTCTGATACATCCATTTTCTATGACAATAACAACATAATAACAATAATAACAATGGTAATAATGGCCAAATCCTTACATAGCACTTCCTATGTGCCGGCAGTTGTTCTAAGGACTTTACATTAAAAAACTCATTTTTTTCTCATCACAATCCAGTGACATAAGTGTTATTATCCCCATTTTACACATATGGAAGCTGAGGCAAAGACCAGTTTTGTAACCTTGTGAGTAGCAGAGGTAGAATAGAACTTGGACAGTCTGGCTCTAGATCCCATGCCTTTAACCATGATGCTGTACAGGGAGAACCACAGAGACTGTCTTCGAAATTGCAGGCTCTGATTTATAAGACCATTGCTGTAACCACTGAGCTAGATGAGGTTCAGCAAAGTACAGCCACTTGATCCAGGTCATCCAGGGTGGCAGGGCAGGGAGTCCAGCAAGGTTGGTCTGGCTTCAAGGCCTGCGGTCTGCCCACTCTTCATTGCTGCCTCTTCTCTTCATGCTCTAGCAGATCTACAAGGCAAATAGGACATGGCCTGGGTCTTGGGGATTTTATAGTCTAGTTGGGAGGCCTCACTGATATACCTAGGGCAACAGGGCACAACACAGGGAGGCCTCAGAGGCATACTTGGGAGCTGAGTATCTAAGCTGCTTGAAGGAAAGGCCAAGATGGCTGGAGAAGTCCGGAGAACCTATGGATGAGAAAGAAGATGAGCTTGGTTTGGGAGATGGGAAGGTGTGACTGATGAGGAGGAGAGGAGATCAGAATGAGCGTGACAGTGGAGAATGAAGAGCAAGGTCGTGGAGCGGTGCCGAGCATTGATGTTGCTTCATGCAACAAGTTGTTGTTCCAGATCTGGCATCTTCCTTTGAAAAAGGTGATGAAAAGAAAGGACAAAAGCTTTGAGTTGAAGGATTGGATTTGCATGTTGGCTTCCTGGTGGATCATCATTCTGAATGTGCAAGGTAGTGTGAGAAGAGGCAGAGAGGGTGTCCATTAAGGACCTGATTCATAACAGATCCCTGGGAAATGATGGTGATTATTAGCTTGGGGTTCAGAATATTCAACGTGGTAGTTTCAGGGGAAAGGAGGCTATTCTGCCACCTTGTTTTATTATGCAGCAACTCTCTTCAGCCAGTGACATCCCAGTGCCTGCTCTTCATCTCCATCAAGTGTGAAAAAACCTAACTTAGCCAGCAAGCAGCTGTTAGGTACAGCCCTACTGTCATCACCCTTCCTCCAGGCCCTTACCTTGAGTCTCTCCCATAAACCTGCAGCTGGTTCTCCTCCCTCCCCCAGTGGAGGAAACTGTTCTGCAGCAGCACACCTCCCCTGATTACCTTCCTAGGACTGAGATACCTGTGCCTTCCCCCAAGTGTGAACATTTATAGCATCTGCTCTGTTAACATGTGAATAAATTAGGACCATGTGCAAAGAGTTGTTTTAAAAACATGCTCTGGGTTTGTTCAGAAACCCTCTCTGGCTGACCTTCAGATAAGGAACATGCCTGAGTTATTTGAGGAGACGTTTGCCTATTTTTAAGAAGCAGTTGCAAGGAAAAAAAGAAAAATATATACATATATAAAATATTTTGATATTTCCTGTTTTTAGGAGCTGGTGTTCAACTTGCACCTAGTTTCTTTTAAAAAAAAGTAATTAGAAGTGATTGAAATTCTCCGTGGGTGTTTTGGATGTTTAAAAAGAAAGCGTAAAGGAGGCTCCTGGGAAGAGTGCAGCTCCAGGCTTACAACCTGTGGCAACTTTGCTCCATTGTGTTTTGATTAGAATCCTTGTTCCATCATCAAAGTTGATTATGGATTTGATTAGTGCATTTTTCTGCTATTGTGTTACTCCCTTTCTTCTCTTTCTCAGTTCTTGGAGGGGAATGTATAGCATGGTTATCTGCCAACATGCAAGAATGTTTATGGTTCACATATTATTGCTTATTTCATGGGTTAATTTTCTAAAGACACTTTAAGGGTGGTACTGGTGGCTTATTTAGGGTAACATTACGTGTGTATATATCTGTATATAAATACATCTACTTCTGGATATGTGTATATATGCATATATACACACACATACACAAATATATACACATGGAACAGCTTAAAGTATTGAGCACATGTAAGCACACACACACATCAAAGGTGAGGCTGGAGGAGTTACGGCCCAAATTCTAGCTTTCAGAATAGCTAGGTTTGCTTTCCACTTGTCATTCTGTCTTCCTCTGTGACCACAATCTGA